CTTTTCTAACATTTATTCTAGTTTAATTTACTATAAACAATGGGTTTTAACAGTGATAATCTCTTTCGTGAACGTGATGGATTTGGACATCATCATCATCATCACCATCATCATGGTCACCCGGGAGGATATGGAGGTTTTGGTGGATATCCGGTAAATGGATATGGGTATCCAGGGGGCTATGCTGCTGGTTATCCAATGAACGGATATGGTCAGAACTATGGGTATGGTTATCGATGGTAATTCGAGATATTGATATGCGTATTTTCTTGTAATAAAGTTCTGAAATAAATACATATAATGCCATTCAAGGCTATGAATTAAAAAAATATGCATTCTTAAATCTATTGCTATTTATTAATTTATGATATGAATAATAGATTGGAAAATCATTGGATTTCAATTGAGTAAATCTTTAATGTATTATAATATCCTATAGTTAAAGATTGTTTATTGTGAACGCTATTTTTTCTATATTTTATCAATAATATATAGGTAGTGTCTGAGACGATCATCAATATTTAATTTTCATTGTGCAGACTATAGTATTATAGATGCAAACTTTGCTTAAGTGTTGATTTACTTTCACAGTTATAAATTTATATCAATATTTCATTAATATTCATTTAAAAGTCTATTGATATAGAATTTCATGAACATTTCAATGATGATAATAAGATTAATATAATCATTTATTTGTATGAGAAATAGTAAAACTTGTTAAAATTCACTTCATCTTACTTATTTCAATCTTCTATAATTGACACACTATAATCCAACTAGCCTCTCAATTTTCTACGTATTAATAATTATAAAACATATATGAAAAAAAAACATAATACGATTAGTTTTATTTTCAGTTTGAATACAATCTGAAGTAGTAGCAAACGACTTGTTGACTACTTATTGTCTCATTCATCACATATAATTAAAAGAAAGAAACAATTGATGAATATAGACATGCTATTATTTATTATCAAATATGTCTATAGCGTGCAATATGATCATTTTATAGGAAAACAGAATCAATAAACGGGAAGGAACCATTTTCTGCCGAAAAAAAGTTTTCCAAGGAGAAAAAACAAGATCGATCTAATTTCATGATGTAATTCAAGTATACATCCTTGATTATCATTCATATTTTTTGTCTGATTATCGATCGTTCAATCCATTTAGTCTTTACAAAATAAGGTACTCATTGCTCGTGTATTGAAACGATCTGTCTTTCGCCTCGCTCGTTCCCGGTTAATCAAATTTGTCTTTTTCGGCGGTCTAGTGATCGATCGTGCTGTTTCTATTTCTTATTCCACAGAACACATGCAACACGATTATCGCATTAACACACATACACATACGCAAGGCTTACAACTCGCGGGAATACTATATTTCACTCCCTTTCTTATGCTTATGCTCACACAATCGTCGTCATTGTCGTAATATTGTTATTCGTCGTCAATCTGTAAGCACATGCGTGCATATTCTATTTTCTTTTCATTTAACTGTTATGACCTATTGTAAAGTAATTGGAATGGCAATGAGACACCTGACTAACTAACTCGTAAGTCTAAGAAACGGAAATTAGCTTCGGTATAACTTCAAACAAATGATCACATACGTACAATGTAGAATAAATATTGATCTTTTGCTTCTAGCCTAGTAGTCTGACTGACTAGTTACTATTACTTTGGTTCAATCAATCTAGAGAGAGAGAGAGAAAACATAATGTAGATATATGTATATCTTAAATATGCAAATCGCATTAAACAACAGAAGAAGAAGAGAGAGAAGTATAAATTTATAAACAAACGCATATATCTCAGTTTTTATTTAATAAATAGTATTCTGTTGTTATGCTTGATAGCTAGAGGGTATAGAAGTAGTTGAGCGTAAATTAGGAGTTATCTTGATTGCACTGTAACTATTAGATTTTATTTTTCAAGAAATTTTGAGTATACTATAATAAGAGAAAGAGTCATAATAATTTCTTCTATTTATTTTCAATACTACTCTAATAATGAACGAAAGATTGGTAATACAGATTATTAGTATTAGATTGACTAATTGAGCGAGACCAGTCACTCGCCGTTGTTCAATGGATTGGTTCGTTGTTTCATTCAATAGAATAATTATTATCCCTGCTGTTTCTGCTCCATTTTATCAATCATGATTTTGTCGTGGGCGGACCGAAGTACACACTTATTAAATTAGAAAAGACGTTTTCTCTTTTTTTTTCTTCTTCTTTTCCTTCTTTGTAATGCACATCATCGTTAGCTAGTTTTAAATGCAAATTTACCATTATTCAAATTATTTTTTGATATCAAACGTGTCAAGTGTATATATATCTATCTGTATACATATAAAAGTGTTAATGAAGCACCTTTCGCTTGCCCGCATGCATACGCTCAGATCATCGATCATCATACAGGACAATTTCCGATTGATTGTCCCCAACACCACTTGAAAATGTGTGCATTCACATTCATAAAGACAATGAATAAAGGTCATTTGAAGACTAAATAACATCACACTTTGAAAAGAAAGAAAGAAAGAAAGAAAGAAAGCAAGAGAAAAAAAAGTGAGCATGAAACAAACAATTTCCTTTCACGTTTTTTTTTTATACGAATATACACAGATGGACATTCACACATACTCATGAATGGCCTCAAGGTTAGTTACTAATATACATAATACAGGAAATGATGGTGTTTTAATCAATATCTTTCGCATTGTTGATTAACTTGATCTTTTTTTTTCTTCTTTTTTTTTTGTTTTATTGACAAAAGAAGAAAAATAGATATGCGCTCAAGCGAAAAACGACCAAATGACGTCAGCTGGCGTTCATGCAATGTATACAGCTAGATAAAGATCAGACAAACTAAATGAGTAAGTAAGTAAGTAGTAGTATTAGTGAAAGGCGAATAGTCATACTACTTTTAATGTTTCTTTCTATATGATATAGACACGCAAAGAAGAAGAAGAAGAAAAATGAGCGCTTGTTCTCAATAACGGATGCCACTGTTAAATTGTATTGAATGAACATCACCGTTTATGTATGCATAAAGATAAACGTCTATCCCGTATGTATATTGTTTGAAAATTGATCATATTTCGCGTGAGACGACATTGTCTAAATAAACTCTATCATTCTATACACGCAAGTGAAAGTCCCACATCATACATATATTTTTAACTTGATTGGCATTCTTCGCTCGTTCGGTCATATAGAAATTTTTTTTCTTCT